AATTTGTGTCTTTATATTTAAAGTGGGTTTCTTGAGGACAACACATAGCTTGGCTACAGTTTTTGATACCCACCGACAATCTGTATTTTAATTGGTGCATTCAGACTACTGATATTCAAAGTGATTATTGAAATAGGGTTAATGTCTGCCATATTCATCACTGTTTTCTATTTGTTGCCTTTGTTCTGTTTCAATTTTTTGCATTCCATTCTTTCTGCCTTTTGTGGCTTTAATTGAGCATTTTATAGAATTCCATTTTTTCCTCTTTCCTTAGCATGTCAGTAATGCTTGTTTACTGTTTTTAGTGGTTTCCCTAGAGTTTGAAATGAACATTTACAACTAATGCAAGTTCACTTTCAAACAGCACTTCATGGTTAGTGTACTTTGTAATAACAAAATAATCCCTATTCCTTCTTCCTGTCTCTTGTATCATCGCTGTCAATCATTTCACTGATATATAAACACACATAAGCTTATGTATATAATATATACATGATTATACATAATCAAATACATTATTATTTTGAATAAACTGTTATTTGTTAGGTCAATTAAGAAAAAGAAAAGCTTTTATTTTATCTTCACTTATTCTATTTCTGTTCTTCTTTATGTGCCACCAAGTTTTTGACCTATATTAGCTTCCTTCTCTCTAAAACATTTCTTGTAAGGCTGATCTACTGACAACAAACTACCTGAATTTGTGTTGTCTGAGAAAGTCTTTATTTCTTGTTTACTTTGAAGGACAGTTTTGCAGGGTACAGAAATCTAGGTCTTTTCTCTCAATATTTTAAGCCTTTCTCTTCACTCTCTTTTCACTTGAAGTTAGATGTAATTTTTCTCTTTGCCCCTCTATAGGTAAGATCTTTCCCCCTCTGGCTACTTTTAGCATTTTCCTTATCTTTGATTTTGTATAATTTGAAAATGGTAAGATTAGGTTTAGTTTTTTTGAGCATTTATCTTGTGTGATGTTCTCTGAGCTTCCTGGACCTATGGTTTGATGTCTGACATTAATTTGGGGTAAATTCTCAGTTATCACTGTTTCAAACATTGCTTCTGCTCTTTTCTCTCTTTCTTCTCCTTCTACTATTTACATTATATGTATTTTAAACACGTTGTAGTTGTCCCACAGTCCTTGGATATGTTTTTTTCCGTATTTTTTTCAGTCTTTGTTCTCTTTGCTTTTTGGTTTTTGAGGATTGTACTGATATGTCCTCTAGCTCAGAGATTCTTTCCTCAACCATTTCTAATCTACTAATAAGCCCACCAAAGGCGTTCTTCATTTCTGTTGCAGTATATATTTTTTAATCTCCAGCACTTCTTTTGGGTTCTTTCCTAGGATTTCCATTTCTCTGCTTACATTGCTCATCTGTTCTTGCACAATGTCGATTTTACCTATTAGAGCCCTTAGCATATTAATCCTAGGTGTTTTTTAAATTCCCTATCTGATAATCCCAACATTCTTGTCATGTCTGGTTCTGAGGCTTGCTCTGTCTCTTCAATTTCTTGCCTTTTTTATATATGCCTTGTAATTTCTTCTTGCTAGCCAGACATGATGTACTGTGTAAAAGGAAGTACTTTACACAGACCTTTAGTAATGTGGCTGTAAGGTGTGGGGAAGGGGAAGCATTCTGTAGTCCTATGATCAGGTCTCCGTATTTTAGTGAGCCTGTGTCTCTGGACCGTGAACTTCACGTGTTTCTCAGATTCTGTTTCCTCCCCCTTTAGGCGGGACAGTGGTTGAAGTGGGCTGGAGTGGGTATTTTCTTTTCCTCAGGTTAGTTTCTGATCATTCCCCAGCAAGTTAGGTTTCAGTTGACTAGTTTACCCTGTGAGCAGGCTTTCTGAAGATATTTCAGAATGACTCCTTTTCTCCTTCCCCTACCAGGAACTTGAGGAAATTTTCCTCTGACATTTACTGTGGGAATCTGGTCAAGCTGCTGGAAGAAAAATGTCACAATATTTTGGAGACCTCCCATGACTGCATCTCCCAGATGTTAACTCCCAGCATTGTCCAGGCTGAGCTTCCAGCAATTTATCAATGACTGCTCAGCTGGTGGGTCTCCATTCCAGTTGGCTCTGGTGAATGGAGGTTCCCATCTGTCTCTCCAATTTTGGGGTCAGCAGGTTCGTTCTATGTCCTCCCTCCTCTTATGAATTCAAGAAGAGTTGCTGATTTCTCTGTCTTTTTACTTTTGCTTGTTAGAATGAAGTGGTGATATGTAAGCTCTTTACATGGGAAATTGGAAGTTCAAATTATACACCTTAAATGGGTAAAGTTTATGATATGTAAATTTTACCTCAATAAAGATGTTTTAAATTTTTGGAAAAGTAGAAGCTGAAAAAAAACTCCCCACAGATTTTGTGGTTTATAACTCCAAGAATACAGTTGGAGGTTGAAATGAGAGAAGTAGCCGTCTCTTCACTCACAACCAACTCCTGTGTTTTCACTGACAGTGTTTTCAAAGAATCACTGCGGTACTTAGTATGCCTTAATTAGGCAAAGGAAAGGAAATGTCATTCCGTTACTCATAGCCTTATCTCCAAGACACTTGATTCTTTAGAGCCCCTTTTCAGTCCCGGCTCAATCACTCCCATGAGTTCCTGGAAAACTAAATGAGCACAGATCAAGGGTACATCATCTCAAAAGTCACCTAGAAAACCTTTAGTTCAGTTGGGGTGGAAGCCCCAGAGAAGAAGAATTTTCTCAAAAGTACTTAGGTCTTGGGTATGGTCATAGTGCAATCTCCAAACTCGAGGATGCTACTTTCTGACAGTTAAATTACTCAAATTGAACACACACACAAAAAATAGCTAATGGAAGAAATATGCCATATAAATAGGTATAAATGTCTTCCTGATAAGAATCTTGATAAACCCCTATTTATTATTAATCCATTCATACATTTAACGAATAATTTACCTACTGAGGACTCATTATGTGCTAGTCACTGTGCCAAGTACTAAGATATAGTAAGGTTTTCCTGAAATTTATAATCTAGAGGAACTATCAAAGGTTCATAGAAAGTTTACATTTCATTGAACCTGGATATAATTGAAGAAATTAATGACCAAATTAACAATTGTAATATATCGAGTTCTTATGACATGTTAGTTGAGGGTAAATGGAGCAAAAAAAAATTGAACCTGGATAGTATGAATTTGGCAGTGTTTATTTAATAGTCTTTGAAATAAAAATAAGGGTAAGATACAATATTCCAGCAACAGACAAATGATATGATGAAACAGCCATGGCTCCTTATAAATGGATTTTCCTTAATTTTATTCCTAAATTCCATCCCACCAGAGCAGGTAACTTGCCCCTTCCAACCCATCTTCAACCCAGGGGACAAAATGATCTCTTAAAAACACAAATATGATCCTTTCACCCTTTAGTGATTTCCCATAGCTCCTTTCACCCTTTAGTGATTTCCCATAGCTATGCGTTCTGGTAAGACCTAGAACGCATAGCATGATTTGCCTTAAATACAATATTTGTAGATCATTCTCCAGCTACCCTTCCCCTCACTCAAGTCATACAGGCTTTCTCAGCCCTTCCAATGAGCCAAACTCCTCATTTCAGAGCCTACTATCTGTCCCTTTTTACAGAAAGCTCTTCCCTCTTTGCCTGACTAATGCATACTCATCTCTCAGGTCTGTCTTCCTGAGGAAGGGTTTCTCTTACTTCTCAGGCTCAAAATCAGGTCCCCTGTTTACACTCTGATTACATGGTAGGCATTATTTTCCTTCATTGTACTGGCACCATTCTAATGATCTAACCATGTGTACGATTATGTGATTACTATCTTCCTTCTACAAAACTATAAACGTCATGAGGGCAGACAAATGTACCTATTTTGTTTACAGTGCCTGTCACAGTATGTGCAAATTTTCTGGGAAGGAAAAACAAGGAGGGAGAGAAGAAGGAAAGAAGGAAGAAATGAAATAGGGAAGCAGGCAGAGAGAAAGCAGGAAGGGAAGAATGGAGATCCCAATGAGGCTAATTGGGAAGATATTTGGTTCTTCATCTCTAGTGGGAAAGCTGGAAGAGTCAAATGTAGCTCTTACCTGAGGCCTCAATGCATAAAGGTAGAAGTTGAACATCTGAATTTTTTCCATGGGATAATGTTCAGTTCAAACCACAGAAATAGGTACAAATGGGTCATCAGAGCACAGGGGGTCTGAGGCGAGTATTAGGTATTGAGCAAAATGAGAATGTAAAAACCAGGGAAGATGAGGGCAAATAAGAAATAATCTATCCAAATTCAAGAAACTGTAGGGCAAGGCCACCAGCTGGGCTTATTTCTTATACCCAGTGGCTTTTTATGTATGAGTGAAGAAAAATCTGATTAAAGGGACATAAACCACACACATATTTGCCGTATGTGGACAAAATAGGGGTCGAATACTACACGTGACAAACTCAGAGACTGACAGTAACCACACAGGACGGATGGTCTGAACATAAAAATTCCTAACTAAAAGGGAAGCATGGCAGGTAGTCATATCCTAGGCCTATAGCTTTCTTGACAAAGGACAATCCTTACTTAAGTAAGCCTGTCTATTGTCTTTTTGCATCTAAAATAACACACCTCTGGAATGTCAGAGCAATCTCTTTCAAGACCTTTCAGGGTACACCCACAGCACCAGAGCAGACACCACAGAGCTCCTTGATGTTATGTTGTTCCCCGAATACCATCTCCATGTGCTGTGAATGTTCATTGTTAACTATCCTGTACCCACCAATGTAAAAGAGGTATGTGTCTCTCCTTTTACTCTTTAACCAGTCTCAGAGATTTCCCTGTTTTGCTTTCTCATGCCTCCCTAACCTACCACTAGGGAATTTCGTGTAACACCCCTCCACATACACAGTTTCTCCCTTGTCTTTTAACTCATATTTCAACTTTGGTAGGTCTATCCTAAATTATAATGCTGTGCATAAATTTTTCACTTTCTAATACACCTTTCTACATTCCTCCCACTTGTTTAACCACATGCCTCACCATTTTCCAAAACAGGTGTGACTTCCATGGTGTCTGGATCATCCATAGCATCTAGATTCTTCAAAACATCTGTCTCAGGTGGTGGCTTTCGCATGAGCATGCTGGAAGTTGAAGCTTCCCCATCTGAGAAACAACATCTTTAGGTCACCCTCCAAGTGGGATTCAGAAAAGGAAGTGCTTCTTATTCACTTTCATTTTCTCTATGCCTCTCAGCTATTCAGGGCCTTTATTTTCATAAATTCAGTGAAAAGTTAGAGAAGTGATGACTCTTCTCAACAACTACTTTACCTCCAAAAGGTACTACTCCTTTGACATAAATGGGAAAAAGCAGAATATGTAACTAGATTCTTCGAGACTCGGGTAGAAGAGAAAGCCAGTTTTCTTTGGAACTCTTTATTTGACATGTTTTGGAACATCAATTATGTTGGCAACAAGGACTCCCATAGATGAGCCCAGAAAGGTTGAAATAATTCACAAAGGACAAGAAATCAACTACTGGCTCATACATTGTAAATTTCATTTTTTTTTCAATTCCCAAGTCCTCCTTATCTGCCCAGGGCTTATCCCCCACATATCAGGCCAAAATCTCACCTGATACTTGTACCAGGAAAAAAATGACTGAGTGATATATATTTTATCATCATGGGGGTGAAATAAACAGGGTCGGTTGACAACTAAAGCCTGTGTTTACACTAGTAAGTCTCACATCCTGTATTGAAACTCTCCTTAGGAGAACCCATTCTGTCACTAGGATGATCAGGAGACAATGGTACCTGTTCTCTGAGGAGTCCTGACTAACTGGCGAGACTGAATCACACACATAAAAAATTTCAGATGCAATTCCTCTTTACGCATGGCTATCTCCTAGAAACAGAGAGAGTTTAATCCAAACGAACAGATTTGTGAAATGATAAAGATGGACAAAAATGACAAATGACAAAAGATGGACAAACCAGGTATGCTCAAGCCTAACAGCCTTTACAACTGGACAGTCTAAAATTCAGCATATGAAGTGTTACAAATCATCTACATGTATACTTTTAATATGCAAAATCCACTGAACTCAGCAAACATCTTCTTTTCCCAGCTGCTAAAAGGCTGAGGGCCTCCAGAGGCTGCCATTCTTCAAGTCTGACCTCAGACTGTGGCTCTCATCTGGGTCTAGAATGCGGGATGAAACAGTTCTCCTAGGCATCTAAACAGGGTCTGGGTCAGAGGCCCAATGAGTTGAGAGGCTTGATTAAAAGCCTGAATGAACAAACATATTTCTTCTGATTATTTTCTCTTAAAAAGTAGGACACAAATTACGAGTTAATTTGGTCACAGGAACAACACCGGGGCCATTTAGTTCTTCAGCGGGCAGACCCCCTTGGTCCTTTCCTCTCTTTACTCTGAAAAGTAGATCTCTGGTGGACCCCCCAATAGCCTACACATAGGCTCACTTGTGTTTTAAACTCCCCAAGAATTCTGCAAGGTTCTACAGGTTTAGAGTCTAACCTATGCCAATCCCAAGCTTTTTTTCCCTTTTTTCTTTTCTCAAATGGCCAGTCGAGCATGGTGTGGTGCAAATAGTGCACGACTACAAGTTAAAGAGATTTGTTTTCTAATCCCAGATCTTCCATGCACTTTTCAACTTTGGGAAATGACTTCACTTCTCTGAAACTATTAGACTAAATAAACTATCTCCCAAAACCTGTACAAGCCCTAACATTCTGTGATTCTTAATAATACACAATATAGCCTGAGCTCAATTTAGCTTTCAGGTCTTATAGCTGCCAAGGTGGCCACAGGTGCCCGCGGATAAAAGGCCACGGCGAAAGCTGCCACGGAAACCAGAGCTATGAGCAAAAATCGCCCAGCGGAACCAGAAAACGGCGGGTGAGGGAGTGAGGGGAACCGAGAAAAGCGAAGGACTTAAAGCGCACTAACAGTATATTCCGAGAACAAGAAAAAGCCCAACGGAAAGGGGAACAGAGAAATTATGACTACAGCCTTAGATGCTTCCTTGGTTTCCGAGGCCTCGCCATACTGCGCAGGCGTTCCGCGAGCCCTTAACTGTGCTCTTTGACCTCCCGCCCAACCCCCTTCCTCCACAGCCACCCAGCGGCTCTTCCGGCGTTGTGGAGGCGATTCCGGTTCGCGGCCGTTCCCGGGTTTTGCGTTTCGCGCCCGGCCGGAAACCCCTTCGTATAGCAGCCGGTTCCGGTTCGGTGAGTGGCGGCGGGAAGCTGGGGGAGGGGTGAGGATGGAGGGAACCTTGGCCGGGAGGCAGTGCAGCTCCGGGCCCCGCAACCTGGGCTGGGCTCGGCGGAAGCGGGGACTGCACTGGGGACGGTGTTTTTTCCTCTGCCCCGCCCCTTGGGACCACCTCCTCTCCCTTCTGAAGTCCGCCGGCGGCAATCTGGCGGGTGGCGGTTAGTTAGGCTCCCCGAGGCCGTTTCTTCAGGCCTTTTACTTTTGGGCGGTGGGGAGACGGTCTCCCTGCCGTTACGGCACCCCACATCTCAGCGTCCAATTCTCCCGGTGGAGGAACAGGCCGGTTGGGATTTCGGGGCTTTCCCGCCAGAGCAGGGTCATCTCTCAAGGGAAAGCTCTTTTCACCGGGAAGCCCAGCTTTCTGTTACACCTCTTCGTCTCCCGCCTTCCTTCAGACCTGAATGATATGTCTCCACTACTTCTGCGTCTCCGTAAACATTTCTCCAACTCTTTCACTCTGTGGTATCTCCTTGAGATGTGGTACTGCTAGTGCCACCACCAGAAAGAAACGTCTGGACCCTCCTGCCCAGGTTATGAAAATCCCCTTAAACTGCCACAGTTTACTTACCTGGCTCATCGCCTTCTGGTAATTCCCTTGAACCGTCTCTTGCTTGGTGTACCCTTACGTGGTCTCTCTGGATGTATGCCCAGTTTCTCTTGAGCTTGGGGATTTCTGCTTATCAGTGCCTCTGCAGTATTTGGACTTATCTTCTCGGCAATAACTTGCTCCTTTATCACTTTCAAGTCAGCCTTGTTAAAGTCATTTCATTTCATGTTTGGTACACTTATTATATTTGGGGGGGTGGTGATTCTTAGAAAGTTTATGTAAAACCTTTTATAGGCTACCAACTATTTGACTTAGGGTCCTTGTTCTAATTGGATATTCTGGATGGAAAAGACTGGATCACCTCCTGAATCTTTATTCTTTATAAACATAATTTTGTAAGGACATATATTGAAAGATAAATTACAATAAGTTTGAAATTACAGTTACAGTGAAACCTTAAGCAACACTTTAAGCATGATTCCTTAACTTTTTTCCAATTTAGAGATTCCTGCCCTTTCCCCTAGCCTCTAGTTCCACTGTGGAAGCCTCATTCATTTCATCTTCTGAAGCCTCATTCATTCTTACCTGATTCCAATTAATTATCCCAACTGCAAAGAAGGTCTTCATATCACCCATCTGATGAGTTAAATCTAGAGGGAGGAAAAGGATTTTAAAAAAACAGGTTCTGCTACTTCAGGCTAAGGTGATGTAATTCTTAATGACTGCTTTGGAAGTCTTTTCTTTACCTGACTCTCACACCTACCAATTGTATTGGCTTTATTTTCTTGCTGTAAGTATCCATTTATGGATCTGACTTCCTCCAGTAGACAGTAAGCTTCTCAGCAGCAGGGACCAATTCCTATTCTTTTAATCCCCAGTACCTTGTATGTAATTGTTCAGTAAATGTTTGTGTAAGAAGTTGAATGCTTAGTGTTTAAGGTGCTACAGTGTTAAAGTGTTTCAGGCATTAAAGTCTAATTGGGAGAGTTACATGTAAAAATGTCAAAAGCAGAAACATGGTGATAGGTGACACACTGTATCCCATACAGAGTTTTCCGGAGTTCAGAGTAGGGTGATTCACATGATCACCTCCACACCCTTTTCATATCATAAATTGTTCTAACCACATCTTGGTTCTGGATAAAGCTAATTTTAAGTGGTTCTCTACAGTATGCATTTTCTAGTAACTTCATAGCTCTCAACATTCTCTTTTATAATCACCTCTCTGCTTGCATGTGAGCTTCTAAATGTTTTACCATACTAGTTACATTCTGTTACTGTCAGGACTTTGCCATTTTTTTCTTTCAGATTTCCTATTGTCTTCTGAAGTCAGTTTACTACTAACTTGACTTCACCTGAATATATATAGCTGCCTATGTTCTTTCAGTAAAGCAAATGACCAATGTGAACTAGGAAATGAGTTACTAGAATACTTTACTTTTTAAAAAAAGATTTTACTTATTTATTTTTAGAGAGAGGGGAAAGGAGAAAGAAGGAAACATCAGTGTGTGAGAAGCATTGATCAGTTGCCTCTTGCACATCCCAACTGGGGACCTGGCCCACAAGCCAGGCATGTGCCCTGACTGGGAATTGAATGAGCAACCTTTTGGTTTGCAGGCTGGCTCTCAGTCCACTGAGCCACACCAGCCAGGGCTAGAATACTTTTCTTAAAAGAAAACAGTTTTTATGCTTGCAAGAATTTGGTGGCATCAAATGTTCCAGATCCTCCGTTTCATGTTGAATCTTGGGATTAAATATCCCTTCTCCCTATGTAACTGCAGAATGGCAAAAAGAAGGTATCAGGCACACTGAAGCTGTTTGTATTAAAATGTAAGTTTGGGGCTTTAATTATTAAAATGATGAAACAGCAGGGATTCCCCAGAGTTAGCTAGGGATTACTTTTGTCTTGCTAAAGTGTATGAATCCTTGAACAGGATATGTTCAAGTATGTGAAGTTTTGTAATGTTGAAAGCACATTTGCTTAGAAATCAGGATACCTAGATTTTAAAAATATATATATATATTTTAAAGATTTTATTGATTTATTTTATAGGAAGGGAAAGGGAGAGAAACATCAATGTGTGGTTGCCTCTCATGCGGGCCCCACTGGGGACCTGGCCTATAACCCAAGGCATGTGCCCTGACTGGGAATCAAACTGGCCACCCTTTGGTTTGCAGTCCCTGCTGAGTCCACTGAGCTACACCAGCCAGGGCCCCCAATTTTTGTTTTCCCTTCTCCATCTGTGTAATTTTAAAAAAGGCAAGTCACTTAACCTCTCTGGACATAATCTTTAAAATCCTATGATTTCTTGTTTGCTTCCCTTTTTACATCTAGTTCAGTAGTGCAAAAGAAGTTAAAATAGGTGTTCTGGACAACAGGCTTTTAAATCGGCATTCTTTGTAATACAACAGAAAGGCTAGTGATGACAATTATGAAATGGCCTGATACAATGAAATGTGGAAAAGGTACTGCTATTTATTAGCTGATAGGATTTTTTCCCCCTTAATCTGGGGCCCATGGAATTCTGCTTTATTGAAAAAGAAAAGGGGAAAGAGCAACTGGGAGAATTTCCAGGTAGAAGCTTTATGTTAAGTAAGCATTTGCAAACATATATATAGCTTAAGTCTACTCAAATTCTTTGGGAATCCTCCCTGGCAAAACTAGGTAATCAGATGATTACTCTGCTTAGTCTGTAGCTGTGCCAAAAACAGCCGAAGCGGCCTTTCTTTGTGTGTGCACTTTGTTACTGCGACCACAAAAAATGCGTGTTATATTCCACCAGTCTCCTTAGTAGATTGAAGCCTGATATTGCTATGTGGTTGTTGCAGTATTCAGTCTTTTTTAAAAATATGCTGATAGAATTATGAATAATATCAGTGTGACTATCATCATCCCTACTTTCCTCTCAGAAATCTGCCAAGAAGCATGTGTACCACAGGGATGTTTATTAACCTAATTCCAAGGAGTTAGGCTTTTAACTTCCTTTTTCTGGGAAAATTAGATCTGTCAGAGGAGAAAGTAATTTCATATGGGCAAAGGGGCTTTGGTTTTTAGCAGTTTGATTAA